GCAGGACGGGGAACAGTCTCCTTTATATAAAAGGTGAATATTGCTGCTGCTTTTTATATCTAGGGTTTAGGGTTTAGGGTTTAGGGTTTAGGGTTGTCTCTGCTGCTGCTGCAGCTGCTTTGTTTGTTTCTGCTTGCATGCGGGTTTGTGGTTGTTTATTTTTATTTTTATTTTTATTTTTTTTTTGTTTTAATTTTTTTATTTGTTCGTATGCGAGAGAAATGTCGGCTCGGCTTAACCCTAAACCCTAAACCACAACCCTAAACCCTAAACCACAAACCCCAACCCTAAACCCTAAACCCTAAACCCTAAACCCTAATTGTGTGGTTGCAGGCTAGCTGAGCAGCATTCTAAGATCGACTACAGTCTGCACGTCATACTGGAGGAGATTGTCTCCTTGAAGGTAAAGAAACACAAAACCCTAAACCCTAAACCCTAAACCCTAATGAACCCTAAACCCTAATAAACCCTAAACCCTAGACACGACGGTGTGATATGCAGGCCTGCACGTGTTCAGAGAGCCTCTACTTTCTCGGGTTTACGGCCTAGGGTTTAGGGTTTAGGGTTTAGTGTTGGTTTACTGTTGAAGGTCCAGGGGAGTTTGTTTAGGGTTTAGGGTTTAGGGTTTAGGGTTTAGGGTTTGTGCGTTTCAGGCCCAGGCAGCGGAGGAGAAAGACCTGAATGTGTTGATGGTGCAGTTTATTGTTTTAGCCGTCAAACTGCTAGCTGAGGCGGCATTCAACAAAGAAAAAGGTGAGGGTTTAGGGTTTAGGGTTTAGGGTTTGGGGTCTAGGGTTTAGGGTTTAGGGTTTGTTCTCAGTCGAGGACATTCTGCCTACCCTAGATCCAGGGTTTAGTATCTATTGTTTATTGTTTACTGTCTATTAGTAAGGGCTTAGGGTTTGGGGTTTAGGGTTTGGGGTCTAGGGTTTAGGGTTTAGGGTTTAGGGTTTAGGGTTTGTTCACAGTTGAGTTTTTACAGCCATCGGAGTTTTATTATTTATTTTTTATTATACACTATATTTTATATTTTATTATTTTGTTTATTTATTATTTATTATTTATTATTTATTTATTATTTATTTTTATTTATTTATTATTTATTATTATTATTTATGTATTATATATATTGTTTCAGTGGAGTGTATTCTGCCGTCGTTGGCGTTTGAGTTTATTGTATATTATATTTATTAAAAATTTCTCTATTTATTTATTTTATTTATTTATTTATTAATTTATTTATTAATTTATTTAATCTATTTATATATTTTGTTTTTATTTTTTATTTTTTATTTTTTATTTTTTTTCCGTGGAGTGTATTCTACCTTCGTTGGAGTTTGAGTTTGTGTTTATAATATACTATGTATTATATATTATATAATCTATATTTTTATTTATTTATTTATTTATTTTTTTTTTTATTTTTTTTTATTTTTTTTTTCAGTGGAGTGTATTCTGCCTTCGTTGGAGTTTGAGTTTGTGCGTCTGCGTTTGCCGTCGCTGCATCCTCGCCTTTTATCTTCTTTTAATAGAATCAGAGAAATAAGCGGAAAACCACCACTCACAGAGAACCAGGTTGCTGCTGCTGCTGCTGCAGCAAGAGCCGCTGCTGCTGCTGCTGCTGCTGCTGCTGAAGCAGAAGCAGAAACGGAAACTGCAGCAGCAGACAGAAATGAAAAAGCAGCTACTCCTGCGGATGCTGCTGCTGCTGCAGATGCTGCGACAGATGCTGCTGCAGCAACTGCTGCTGCTGCTGCTCCTGCTGCTGCTGCTGCAGATGAAGCAGCAGCAGCAGCAGCAGCAGCAGAGGATGCAGCAGCAGTGTGTGCAGATATTTCTTCTGTGTCTGAGTCTCCCTCGCGAGACGTTGTTGCTGCAGCAGAAGTTGCTGCAGCAGCAGCAGCAGCAGCAGCAGCAGCTGGAGTTTCTCTAGAAGAAGCAGCAGCAGCAGCAGCAGCAGCAGCAGCAGCAGAAGCAGAAGCAGAAGCAGAGCAGCAAGCAGAAACCCCATCGGAGCTGCTGCTGTCTCCCCCCCCCTCCCCCTCTCCTTCCTGCGGCCGCCTTGGCCTCGTTGATGAGTCAGAAGATGAGAGGAGACAGCAGCACAAGCCTGCGGTTGTTCTGCTGCTCAGCAGCAGCAGCAGCAGCAGCAGCAGCAGCAGCAGCAGCAGCAGCAATAACAGCAGCAGCAATAGCGGAAACAACTTGACTCCTTCTGTTACTGTTGTTGCTGCTGCTGCTCCTACCACTGCTGCAGCAGCAGATACTCCTGCTGCTCCTCCTGCTGCTGCTGCTGCTGCTCCTGCTGCTGCTGCTGCTGCTGCTGCTGCTGAGGGCTTGCGTGAGTCTGTGTTTACCCGCGGAGAGAGAAGGAGGACTGCCACAGCTGT